GCTCCTGGACTATTTTAATCCTTCAATTCTGTCAGTTTATTTCAACACTATTCAATAACTTTTATCCAAGTACTACTTGGTCACTTAAATACTACATGTTGTCTTCAGATTGCATGCAGTTCAACAAAGTCTAGATCCTGGTTGCCATAAAAATTGAATGGATCTACAACAACTACCATCCTCCTATCTTTATCCTGGTTGCAGCAGGGCCGGGAAATAACCCTGAAGTGACAGGTTTACCAGGCAGGGTACACCCCGGACAGCCGACCAGTCTATCAGATAGAAACAAACAGCCATTTACCCTTACATTCATGGATAATTTAGAATCATCAATTAACCTAGCTCTAATAACTGCATGGCTTTTTCTCTCACACTGGAAACCAGAATTTCGTACAGATCTTTAAAGCCTGAGGCAATTGTGTTAAATACACGCGAGATGCTTACGTAAATCCAAGGGCTGGCCCCTTTTTTTTTTTTCAGTGTGTTCCTCCTTCAATTAAATCTCACTCACAAAAATGTGGCGCTCCGAAATAAGGCTCACACCGTTAATTCATCATTTTCACTCTGTACCACTGCTCCTTATCAGGCTGTGTGAAGCACAGTAAACAATTCAGTGGAGGCCTTAAGCCATAAACAGACATCACGCACAGACATTGTTTTCATAACCAAACTGCCTTAGACCTTGTCCCCTAAATCTACACAAATGCCCTCTGGGTGACATGAAATGCATTTAACCAATAAACAATCAATGGCTTCTTGTTGTTGTAACAGATTCTGTATTTGGATGTTTGTGTGCAGCATTTTGCGTGTCAGCATAAGCATTTGTTAGTAAAGCATTCTTCATCGCATCAGCGTGTGTGTGTATCACTCTTCATTGCACACGCGTGTGCGTGTGTGTGTGTGTGTGTGTGTGTGTGTCAAGTCCTGTGTCTGGGACTCCAAGCCTGACTGATGGGTTCGATTATCAGCCAGCTCCTCCTGAGCCATGCTCAGTTTCTGCTCTGATGCCTTGAGCTCTTACTGAGGGCAGAAACCTCAGAGTCTTTTCCGTACACGTCAGATTGAAGTCCATTGATGTTTTCCTTGCTTTGCTCCACGGCCTTCTGCAGCTCCTGGCCGGGCCCCGACACCTGTGCCTTCAGCTTATTTTCTTCTTGTGCTTTTGTCCATTCTGAGGTGCCTCCTGACCTCAGTTACTCCTCCTGTCTCTGGCACGCCCTTTTTGCTGCCCGATCATCCATGTTGGTCCGTCACTGTCCTGCACAGTTTTAATGCAGAGTTGTTAAGGTCAGCATTCATTTGCTCGGCCTCACTTCTCATCCGGGCTTAATGGGCATCTCGTCACAGCTCTGTCAGCTGAAGCTGTCTGGAAATCTCCCCCGTGTAGTGAAACGGGCCTTGGATTTGACGCTCTCCGTTTCTGCTGCATGAGATCGTTTTCCTGCAGCAGTGTTGACATTTTCAGGTTGTTGTTGTGGGTCCAGCTGCTGTAGCATTTGGTCAGGGTCACATCAAAGATGGTAGAGGAGAGAGCAAAGATGGTAGAGGAGTGAGCAAAGATGGTAGAGGGGAGAGCAGGAGTCCAGGTCAGCCTCGGCTTTCCGGGCCGACAAAGCAGCTTGTAATCAAGCATAAAGAGAAAAAACTAAACAAAAACAGACGAACAGGAAAATGATGTTGTGTTGGCTGTGTTATTCAGAGAGGGGAGAAACAACGGGGCCACACAATAAATTGTGTGTCAAAGATTTAGATGTTGGATTGGTGTTTGCTATGGGTGAGGTTGGACCAGCCTTAATCAGTGTCTGAAACATCAGCCTTGTTGGAATCAAAGTTGAAATAGTTGTTTCTTGTATTTGCTTTGTGATACTTAGAATTACTGTCTAATAGAAAAATTATTTAACCCTTATGTAGTACTGTAGTGCTGATTGTCCACAAAGATGAAGCAGGCACAAAACTGCTAGACACACTCTTTATTATCAAGTAGGTGTGTACATGATAGTGGGGAAAACACGGCTCTGGAGCTGCACAGAGTATAAAGGAGGTGAGATTTTGTTTATTCAGCATCAATGCTGGTGTTGATTCTGTTAATGCTGTGGGGTTCCTTTTGCAAAAGTTTGTTCAGTAAATCTCAAGACAGTTTGACAGTCTCAGTGTTCAGTTTATTTTTCCACCACATGTTAGTCCAAGTTTACACGGCACAATGGTTAGCACTGTTGTCTCACAGCAAGAGTGTCCTGTGTTTGAATCCACAGGCCAGTTGCACCCTTTCTGTATAGTTTGCAGGCTCTCCCCTGTGGCTTCCTCTCACTGTTATGTGACGGCTGTGTGCAGGCAGGAGAAGGACCCAAAGTGCAGACTCCGGAGACAGAAAGTAACTCAAAACAGCTTTAATGCTGAACTCAAAAGGGTAACAAACACTAAGAATACAAAATACACCTACGCAGACAAAACGCACAGCAAGATAAAGGTAGATCACAACAATGACAAACTGAAACACAGGGCTTAAATACATAGAGGGAGCAATCAGGGAATGGACAACAGGAGGGAAACACAGCTGGGGCAAATCAGAACTGACGAGACAAGGAAGCGTAAACTGAACACACTGAGATAAGACGGAGACCTTCAAAGTAAAACAGGAAACACAGACTGAACAAAGACACAGACTCGCATGCAGGCACTACAACAGAGGGAACAGAGACGTGGGACCAGGGCAGACACAGACACTGACTGGACACGGGGATATAGTGGACAGGGGAGACAGCAACTAAGGATTACACAGAGACAAACCATAAGACATGACTCTAACAAAAACCCAAAGACTAGAAATTATAAATAATATAATAAACTCAAAAACCCTGGGTCAACGACCCAGGCATCCTAACACTCACAGTTGTTACTGGTTACTGTGTTTGTGAATGTGAACAGTCGTGTCTCTAAGCCCTGCAACAGACTGTCAACCTGTTCACTCTGACTTTTAGCCATAGTGCCGAATTTGATGGATGGATGTAAAAAAAACTCTTCCCCCCCCCCCCCCCCTCCCCCTCCCCCGTCCCTCTTCTCAGCTGTTTCTCTTTCCCTCTTTCTTTCTCCCCTTCTTTCCCCCAGTCAAGTCTGTCCCGTATTCAGTAAGTGAAAATAAAATAAACAATAAAAGGTGAATCAAATGGACCATTACGGCAAGGCTGGGATGGTCAATTTGGTAAAGTAAATCCGTTGGGCATCTTTCTTTGCCTTTAGACAACAATTCTGATGGCAAAAGAGCCAAACGGGACAGGCAAAAAAAAAAAAAAAAAAATTCACGAGCACTATCACTTTAAGCCATCTATATACTATTTAGTTGTGACTTTCACATTGTGTTGCTGCCATGTTTTAACAAAACAAGATTTAATGTGTTTAGGTTACTTCTGTATATGCTGAAAGCCAACAATCCAGAAAGAAATTTCCATGTAAAGATGTTTTGTGTATTTTCTGCTTCATCTTTGTGGTTTTTATTTTGTGACCTCTGGGAAATCGTAAATAATGGTGATTCAGAATTCAACCCTGTCAAGTGAAATATTTCCTACATGATCAGGAGCCCTTGTGATGTTTAACAGTGAAGGACTAAAAGTACAGTAGATGAGTAATACTATAAATTAGACCTTTCTTATTTATCTGATGAAGCTAGAAAAGCTGTGCCTTGTGATTATCAGTCAGTAAAACTGAGCTTCACCAACTATAAATTCCAAGTGAACTGATTGTAGAAAGGCTGTGATGGTGTCTTTCAAGTGAAATTTCTTGTAATGTAGAATCTGTATTTCTTGTACTGTCCTCTGAGCAGGTTGTTCAGTAATATTATTGCAGTTTTCTATCTGCTGTCTAATTTCAAGTGGAACTTGAAACGATCAATATCTGAGTAGGAAATCCTGTGTTTAGGACATCAAAGACTCTTAGTCCAGAGTCAAGATTTGCTGCTTTCTGTCTGCAGTCTTGAAATGTGCAGAGACAAAATAAAGACTATAAACTTCCCTGAGAAAGGGAAAGAGAGCTGTGAGTTTTTATTCAGGGATGTAGATATAATTTGTATAATTTCAACAGTTTTCTTTATTTTTGCTGATCTATGGATGAACAGTCTGGTTTCATCCGGCTCGATATAAGTGCTGTTGGATCACAACAGACTTGGCGAGTGGACAAAAGACTGAACTTTCCAACTAACAATCAAAAGCCTTGTGGTGCACTCTAACATCCACCTTTATGACCGCAACGGCATGGCTCGCTGATGTATTAAGTGCTTAAAGACTTCTTTAATCAAGTGTTTTAATAAATGGAGCCTATAAAAGCTGAAATTGTGTCTTGTTTAAGGGTGTCATTGTTGTTAAGTTGGAACCGCATATTCCCATAAGCTGTCGTAGGGAATGCTGCAACGCAACCATAAAAAGCCTTAAGAGGAATGTTAAACACCTATAGGTTTGTTCTTGTAAAGACTTTGGAATTTAAATGATCCAAACAATTGTTGGACCTTTGGCTTTGGTGTAAACATTAGATATTGTTCAGGTCCATTTTCCTTGTTTTACCCTTTTTGCACCTGTTCAGTGTTTAAGGTGAATTAACCTCTTGATTGGATTTTATGATGACATGATACTGGTCATTCACACTTCTGGCTCTGCTGGCAACCAACACGTAGTAGCTGTGTCCAAACCTCGTTTTGACTGGATAAAAACTGCCAGAGTAAAACTGTTTTCACGTAAATATTATTTGTGCTAGTCACACCAAAACAATATGAAAGTTTGTAGGTTAAAGAAAAACTAATGTCTGAGACTGATGTTTGAATTTTAACAGGAGGCGATGTAAGGTAAAGCCTATAAAACATCCACAGCAAACTCGTAGAAATGGCTTAATTATTAACCTGTTTTGTATCTTACCACAGCAGTACAGTCAAGTGACAGGGAGACCTCATTATGTCATCTTTAATTGCTCCAGGATTTATAAGACAAAAGTGGAAAACAACATGAATATGATGTTTCCATGACAGAATCTGGGATCATGAGGTCCAGAGGGCTACCAAAGAGCTGCGGAAGCCTGGACTCACCGGTGTCATTGTTAAGTGTTACTGGAAAGCATATGCAGTCCTGGGGATCTTTACACTAATTGAGGTCAGTGGTGTGTTCATTACAATTAAAAATGAAAAGAACTAAACTTAAAGCAGTGGAGATGTTGATCAGAATCATTAATCAATGCTGTGTTTACTGTGTATTGACAGTCACTGTTCTTCATCTGTTCTTCATTTCAGGAGATCATTAAAGTCGTCCAGCCAATCTTATTGGGGAAGATTATTGAATACTTTGAGAGTTATGACCCAAATAACACAAGAGCTTTTCATGAGACCTTGGGCTATGCAGCTGGATTGTCTCTCTGCACCATTGGCCTGGCATTGATGCATCACCTCTACTTTTACTATGTGCAGAGGATAGGCATGAAGATCAGAGTGGCCATGTGTCACATGATTTATAAGAAGGTGAGCAGGAGTCCATGACCTTGATAAAGGAAAAACCCTTTCTTTTCTAGTTGTTACTGAACTCTATTTGGATTGCATGCGAGGATTGCTAAAGGCCGTACCTGCATTCTTGTGCTTGTATCACCTTGCCAAGTTCTGTCATGTAATACTTTAAGAACTCTGTGGATAGATGTGTGTTTGAGGTGGAGGAATGTTGCTTCATGGATAATCTCTGTTTAAGGCTCTGCATCTGAGCAGTTCAGCCATGGGGAAGACCACCACAGGCCAGATCGTCAACCTGCTCTCCAATGATGTCAACAAGTTTGATGAAGTATGTGAAATTTACATTTTTTAGCAAATAAAAAGCAAAGACCTGAGACTAGTTGCTAAGTAATAATATTTGCTTTAACCCTTGGATGCAACAATATTTTAACTATAGCTAAACCTCATTTCCAGTGGCACCTTCTAGCACTTAAGCTTCATTTAACTACAGAGACATGTAAGCAGAATGCAACTTTACTGCTATGCAACTACTAATTTTAAAGATGCAGTTGTATTGAATTTATTTTGGATTTTCTTTAATCCACTCAGGGTTAAATGCATGCATAAAGACTCAAACATACACACCCACTAATTCATCTTTTTTATGTGTGTCACATCAGACTGTTCTGATTCTACTCACTCAGACAAACTCTGGCAAATCTCTCCTAGCGTGAGGTTCAGGCTTAATTACACTCTTGGTACCAAATCCAGTTTCCCTCATTGGAATGTTGAGTTTCCTTTTAATCAGTGTGGGCAGAGACTGCTGTGAAAATGCCAGCTTCTTGGGGGTATTTTGTTCCTTGGCAGCTGGATGTTAATTACACCATGTCATGCTTTCACTGATCTTCATAAAGTCTTTTGAAAGTAGCCATTCCTAAATGGCGGAATTCCCATGCTTCCTTAAAAGATGTATTGCTGTTAAAGTAATATTGCAACTTATTCCAGATATTTTGCTCTGAATAGGTGACGATCTTTCTGCACTTCCTGTGGGTGGGACCGCTCCAGGCAGCTGCAGTCGTTGGGCTGCTGTGGAACGAGATCGGTCCTTCATGCTTGGGAGGCATAGGGGTTCTCTTGATTCTGATGCCTGTCCAAAGCATGTTCGGAAGACTTTTCTCCAAGTTCAGGTAAACCCACAAATGCTCATTCAGTCTTAGATCCCTGAAACTGAGCTGAACTCTGATTTAGCATAACAGAAATGTGTATCTTTGTGGAACTGTAGCAAGGAACTATTGTTTTAGTCTAAAACTCCTATGATTGGTCTGATTTTATTTCAGTATTTTTGGCTAAATTCCCCCCAAAAGAAAAAGGTCTTTTACAGACTTGGTGACGAAAAACATTTTAAGGAATAATTCTGATGGAACTGATGAACATTGATGTTGCATGTTAGATGTTTGGATAGGTTTGTTCAATCGTGAGTTTTCTATTTTGTTTACAGAAGTAAGACTGCTACTCTGACGGACAGCAGAATCCGCACAATGAATGAAGTGGTGTCTGGAATGAGGATCATTAAGATGTACGCTTGGGAGAAGCCCTTCGCTGCTCTGGTCTCTGAGGTCAGAAGGTAAAAAGATGATGATGATTATTATTATTAATTCTGAGTCTCAAGAAATGCAAACTTAACTTTGCTCTTTTTTCCAGAACATTATGCAATTACTTTTAAAATGTGCAGATCTGGTTTTGGAGCACATCCTGACCTTCATCAACTGTGATAGTTGATGAAGGGTGTTACTCAAAGCTCTGACTTTGAAAATGAACCAAGAAGAAAATGCTTATCTTACCAAACCACTGGCTTAATTAGACACATGTGTCTGGGGCGGGAGTAAGAATGTAAATAAAGGAAAAAGAGGCAGTTATCTGAGAGAACGTTGTAGTGTACGGTAACAGGGGAGAAACCAGTCCAGCTTTTTCCAGTTTGGATACAATACTGATAGCTGGTACTGGTGCTGATTATTGCTGCTTTATTGCTAATCTGCATTCCTCAGTAAGAGAAGGAGCGTGAACATCATTCTTTTACTCTGGATGGCATTACCTTGGCCTCCAGTAACACTGTGAGGAACCTTGGAGTCACTTTTGACCAGGATATGTCCTTCAACTCGCATATTAAACAAATATATAGGACTACTTTCTTGTGCAACATTTAAAAAATGTTGCACAAATCTCTTATTTTCTTTTCTAAATGTACCTGTATATTGTTCACATGTTGAAACAAATTATCAATCAATCAATCAAACATCTCTAAAATTAGACGCATCCTGTCTTAGAGTGACGCTGAAAAACTAGTTCATTACTTCTAGGCTGGACAACAGTTTGGAGTCTGGGTGTTTATTATCTATGACAACACTGCATATAGATGCATTTTTCTGTTTTATCGCTAACATTTGAATGTTAGAAAGTAATGTATGTTTTTTTTTTTTTTGTGAAGGGCTAAGGAATAAGTAACATTGGTCACATTTCATTGTTGGTGTTCTGTGTCTAGAAAGGAGATCTCCAAGATCATGAAGAGCTCCTACCTGCGAGGTCTCAACATGGCTTCATTTTTCTGCGCCAGCAAGCTCATTCTCTTTGTCACATTCGCCATCTATGTCCTCTTGGGAAATACCATCTCAGCCAGCCGTGTATTCGTGACGGTGTCTCTCTACAGTGCGGTGCGACTTACGGTGACGCTCTTCTTCCCTAGTGCTATTGAAAAGCTGTTTGAGAGCCGTGTCAGCGTCCGCAGGATTCAGGTACACTGCATTGGTGCTATTTTCCGACTTCACTGAAAGACTTCACTAAAAATCAGTCGAGTCAGCAGACCTTGTAACAGTAAGGTCTGTTGACTTGTTGGAGACATGCCCAGTACAGTTTCAGTGCAGGTTTAGAATCAGAATACTTTATTGATCCCTAGGGGAAATTATTTTTTGTTACAGTGCTCCATTATAAACAAACATTAACAAAGACAGACAATACACTAACTAAGAATAGCACAATATATACAGGCATATATATACATAAAAGTCACTTATTAATAAATAGCTGAAAAAGAGCATGTGCAAGAAGGGTGTAGCTGTTGCAGTAAACAGTGTGTTAAGTGGATGAGGTGTACAGGGAGATGGCCACAGGCAGGAATGATTTCCTGTGTCATTCAGTGGTGCTTTTTGGTAATCTCAGTCTCTCACTGAACATGCTCGTGTGTTTAAAGTCATTGTCTCTCGCCATGCAGCTTTTGAACAGTTAAAGCCAGCAGAATGTAGCAGTGCTTCTGAAAGTCTGGTTCTGCTTTCAATGAACAGACTCATAAAAGCAGATAAAGGCTTTAGTATTTGCTCATTACATTACTCCTTTAATGTTCAGTCCGGGACTGCTGTTCTCACACAGCATCATCTCAATGGTTCATCTGTGTAAAACAAAGTTCTTCCTCATTTGAAATTTTCTGCCCCTAAACTCGAGTTCAGATTTAAATGGAATTTTCATTGGCATCACTGTCAGTTGTATAATATTACAAATAATTTACCAGATCACTGTAGTAAAAGGCTACTCTTTAAACATGTGGCACCTTGGTGCTGTTGTGTAACACTGCATTGGGAAATGATCATGGGAGCGATTTGACTGTCATGGCTGTGTTAGATCTCAGCACTATTGCACTTCTCTCTTTCTGTGGTAAAGGAGTTCTTGACACTGGATGAGATCAGGAAAAACACAGTTGCTCTGCCACAGGATGAGAAGGATGCTGCTGTGGAGATTCAGGATCTGACTTGCTACTGGGACAAGGTTGGATACATGGTCACTTGCTGCTCTAACCAATCAGAAGACCTCAATTTAACTGAGTGCACACTTGCCCTTTGGCTACACTTTGTTTTGTTCATAGTAACTTTAAACAGCAGACTTTTAAAATGTTTTTTCTGATGTAAGATTTTTATTCTCTTTGCAGAGTTTGGATGCTGTATCTCTCCAGAGCATCTCACTCACACTCAGCTCGAATCAGCTGTTGGCTGTAATTGGACCGGTGGGAGCTGGAAAGGTAAGACATCTACTCGTGTTGCTGTGTAATCTATTTTCTTTGTCTTACTCATGCCATACGTGCTGTTATATAAAGCACTTTGAGTACTCAAAGTAGAAAAACGCTATATAAAAACCAGTCCATTTACCGCATCTGTGCTTTACCTTCTACCATCACTATCAGTCATCCCTGCTGAGCTCCATCCTGGGCGAACTTCCAGCTGAAAAAGGGGTGCTGAGAGTCAAAGGACAGTTGACCTACGCAGCCCAGCAGCCATGGGTCTTCCCTGGAACAATTCGCAGCAACATCCTTTTTGGAAAAGAGCTGAACCCCCAGAAGTACGAGAGAGTCATCAGAGCCTGTGCTCTAAAGAGGGTGAGAGATTTGCATTTGCAGTTCACAAAGTACTCAATCATTGTTATGTGCATGATTGAGCCTTTAGAAACAGAGAAAAGGGTGATGAATAACTCCAAAGTTGCACTAGATCTTGTTTTGTTGTTTTGTTTTTTTTCAGTGAAATCAGGTCCCGAAGCAACTACACTTTCCTCTGTTTGAGGAGTCTAATACTAATTCAATGTGAAAACACATTTGATGACTTTATTTTGTCAAAAGCAGCGTTGGTATGCATCACCTGTGCCAGCGTGTGTCACGCCCTTTCTCTTGCACCGACTCTGTTCCTGTGTGGTGCTGCTAGTACGTTCCCTCTTCATTGTCACGAGCAGAGATGGGCAGTAACGTGTTACTGTAATCAGATTACCTTTTTCAAGTAACGAGTAATGTAACGGATTACTATTGCAAAACCCGTAATTAGATTACCGTTGTTTAAATATTAAACAAATTTCTTCCAGTCAGAGAATGTTGCATATAATTAAATTTTTGCTTGATGCATAAAGTTAAAAGATTAAAACTAATAAAACAAGTTTAAAAAAGATACTTTTCCATTTGATTACCTTTTGTATGATGGATTATGCAGAAAAAGTAGAATTGGGCTGAAAGATCTATCGCTTTATCAGGTTTTTTCAGGTTTTTTTCAGGTTGAAAATTGTGTTTTTAAAAATTAAAATTAATTAAGTACCTAAGTAATTAATTACTTTTGAAAATAAGTAATCGGTAAAGTAACGGGATTACCTTTTTGGGGAAGTAATCAGTAATTAGTTATTGATTACTTTTTTCAAGTAACTTGACCAACACTGGTCAGGGGTATGAAAATACTTTGGTGTCATGTTTGTTGGAAAAGGAGGATTTGTGTTTCAGGATTAGTGAAACTTCACCCAGTCTGTTGATCATGAAGGTCTCAATAAATGAGATGGGACCTGTGTTTGTTTGACTCTGTGATGCTGCAGAATAATGAGACAGGAAAAGTTTTCTAAGCTTTATTAGACAGATGACTTCCTGTGTCAGCAGCAGCGTTTTTCTTAATGTTCCTTAAAAGAAACCAGCTGCTGTCACCTTTATGTGAGTCTAAACAGGCTGCTTTTGGCTGTATAACAATATGGTTTCAGGGTTTACTGGGGTTGAAAAGCAAGATTTAGCTGCAGGTTGATCACATAAATTCACTCGATCTGCTGTGTTAAAACAACTTCCTTGGCAGAGGTAATATTTTTGGTAGTGTTTACGGACAGAGTGACGCACATGCTAACACATAGTTCAAAGTTTTGAGTGAATACTGAGTGGGGTCGTCTTTTTCATGTGCAGGCTATATCCTCACAGTTAAACTGGGCTTGATTGGAGTCAGTTTGGCAATAGCACTCTGATGGCAGAATGTTGTCGTCTCTCTGCAGTCAGTCAGAAAATTTGCCTACTGTTAAGTGAGCTGGGACTTCTTGTTCCTAGTAATCCTAGAGTATTTTCCTTCCATCCAGGATCTTCTCATTATCCAGATAAAATATGGTGTCAGTGTATCACCAAACCCAAGGTCACCAATCTGCTGAGAAATAGATTTTTGGATGAGTGAGTGTGTAGACTGTAGACAGTCTAGAAACAAGCTGACTTGGTTCTGTTCATAAAGCTACTGAAAATAATGAGCCATAGATGGCAGCACTACTTTTTCTTACTATATGCTAATTGTAAGTGAATGGTACCGAGTGACTCGACTGCAGAGGTCTGAGTGCAGAGAGGATTGAGAGTCCAACTTTCGTCCTGTTGTATTCGTCTCAGCATTTCTCATCTTTGTTTTTATGATCACTTATTGCTTACTTTTATGTAGTTTTACAACAAGATTTGCATGTCTGCACTTTTGCAAATGACTGATATAACGGCTGCACTGCAGTGAGCCCTTGTTAATCTGCCTGCAGCAGAGGTTTCACATGCTGTGCTCAGTAGATGAGTTACTTGTGAGTCATGGTACTGTGCGCAATAAACAAAGTAAAACAAAAACAAATTCTGCTCTGACAAGAGCATCTTATCTAATCTGTGACTTGTAAAGGGCTAGAAATGATTTGATAGTCTCATGAATAGCTTTGTCATCAAGATGCTCAGTCACTCAATGTTCTGACTTAGTCATTGTGAAAGGTTAGGTATTTTACATTAGCGGGGTTACTGTTTAAACTGTTTGCTTTGTTTTCTTCTCATTTATACACACACTTGTACATTTGTATAAAACAAACGGGGCTAGTGTCGCTGTGTCATTCATCTTTGCACAAAGGTTGGGTGGCCTTTTTATCATGGAGTCAGCATATTATTGAATATCAAAAGGAATATTAATAATAATATTAAGGGTTTTTTTGTTTTTCAAATTGAAGTTGTGCCTTTGTGCTGGTAATTGTTGTACTCTGCAGCAACAACAAAGCCATAATAAGATAGGGCTGTCTTATTATGAAACTCCAGGCCTCAAGGGCCGGTGTCCTGCAGGTTTTAGATATCACCCTGGGTCTACACACCTGAATCAAACAACTAGTTCATTACCAGGCCTCTGGATAACTTCAAGACATGTTGAGGAGGTCATTTAGTCATTGAAATTAGCTGTGTTGGATCAAGTAAACATCTAAAACCTGCAGGACACCGGCCCTCGAGGCCTGGAGTTGGACACCCCTGCAATAATACATGCTCTTCTTCCCATGGTACTGTATGGTGCAGTAATAAGACTCTGCTGCCCATACATCCAGGATCTGGAGCTACTCCCAGATGGAGACCAGATACTGATTGGGGACAGAGGAGCTACACTCAGCGGAGGACAGAAAGCACGTGTCAACCTGGCCAGGTAGTTTGACAGAGAACCAGACTGCTTTATTGTGTTCACCCAGATATTCATGACTGCTGTTAGGTTGCACATTCGTTTTTGTTTTGCTAGTAGCAATAAATGATACACATGAAATGTCAGCATAGATTTCCCTTTAGGCAGAAAAACTTTAAAGGAACAGGAATGGACAGGTTTTAAAGGAAGGTGCAGCAGACTGTTTCCTGGCAACACCTAAGATGGTATTGACACAGTAAATGCATGCACGAATGGATCGCGTTCTTTTAGTCGTCTTGAATTAAAGCACCCCATGAGCCAGAAGTAATGATAATCAAAAAACAACAGAAGACCTTCTCACTTTTAGATGACGGTAAAAAGCCCTCTCATTGTTGCTATGAAGCCTGATGCTGCAGCTACTGTAAAAAAGGGATTCATGCTTTTGATTTCAGGGCTGTGTATCAGGATGCAGACATCTATATTCTGGATGACCCACTCAGTGCTGTGGATGCAGAGGTGGGGCGGCACCTCTTTGAACAGTGAGTGACTCAGTTAAAATCATTTCAGCATTTATGACTCAATCTGTCTGCAAAGAATGTGTGGTTGTTTTTGATGCACACATTTACAATAATGTGCAAAAGTCTTGCACAAGACTGGACAAGACTGGATATTTAGCTTCCATGGAGCCAGACTAAAGAGTAGTTCTGCAGGCTTTCTGGACGTTTTCTAAGTTTTCTTTGAGTGTTCTTTTGTGTCTACACATGATTATTTGGCAAAGAACAAAAAAACTTCAGGCAACCCTTGCTTTAAGAAGTGGCTTGGAATGGCTATATTGTTTAATCAAAATTCTGCAAAACAGGTTTCTGTCCTTGCTATTCATCCTTCTGTTAGCAGTCACATCACAGGTCAGGGGTGGGGTTAAGCCCCTTACTGGAAGAATACATCAAAGCTGGAAATCGTTCAGTGTCTCCTCCCCAGCAGGAGAAAGTTTCTATTCTTGTGCATGATGTAACACATGCACTTGTGTTTTTGGCTTTTGGCAGAAGTTTTAACCTGAGCGATGGATGTTTAGCAGTGCACCATTGTTTAATGTTGTTTTTATAGCTTTAGCACTGGACACAGTGCTTTGAAACAAAAATACATCAGAAGTGAAAACTGACAAAAGCTTTGCATGTGTTGGGCTAAGCCAGGAAGGGGTGCGGGACTACCAGTGTCAGGCAGACAATTGAACTTGACCCCAAACTTCCTGTTACACTCTTCCTCTTAGATAACATACAAACTTTTTAACTGTACTAAGGAAGGAGAAAATCCTTTGACAGTGTTTGACGTTTTTATGTGAAACTGAAACAAACTGGAATGAGAGGAAATGTTTTTCTTGTATCAGATGCATCTGTGGCTTGCTGAAGAACAAGCTTCGCATCCTGGTCACCCATCAGCTTCAGTACCTGAAGGCAGCTGACCAGATTGTTGTCCTGAAAGAGGTTAGTGCAGATGAAATCATCTCTGTGTACCAAACTTGTATCTGAGCACTGTGTTTACCTTCAGCTATTACATTTCAGCGCAAAAGACATGCTGTGGAAGAGAGCCAGAGATTAGTAACAAGTGTGATTTGGTGCAAAGAGGTCTATTAACACATAGTGAGTGAGAAAGGTGACTAAAGAGAAATACTTAATGCATCATGGGAATCCTTAAGCAGCCTATGTCTATTGCAGCATAACTAAGGGAGGATTCAGCGTCACCTGGTCCAGCCCTAACTATATGCTTTAGCAAAAAGGAAAGTTTTAAGCCTAATCTTAAAAGTAGAGATAGTGTCTGTCTCCCGAATCCAAACTGGAAGCTGGTTCCACAGAAGAGGGGCCTGAAAACTGAAGGCTCTGCCTCCCATTCTACTTTTAAATACTCTAGGAACAACAAGTAGGCCTGCAGTGTGACAGTGAAGTGCTCTAATGGGGTGATACTACAAGGTCATTAAGATAAGATGGGGCCTTGTATGTGAGGAGCAGTATTTTGAATTCAATTCTGGATAAAAGATTATTTCAGATTAATAAAAGGATTCATCTGAAATAATCACTATACTGCAAACACTGTTGAATAGTCTTATAGAAGATTGCTCTGAACTTTTGTTTCTGAGTGTTCTCTGGCACCACCTTCAGGTCAGTTATCAGCTTTGCACACAAGATATTAGATCAGGGGTGTCAAACTCATTTTAGTTCAGGGGCCACATGGAGAAAAGTCTATTCTCAAGTGAGCCGTACTGGTAAAATCATTGTGTGTATATATAACTTAAAAACAACAACTTCAGATTGTTTTCTTTGTTTTAATGCGATCAACATAAAAATAAAGCTAGAGCCTGTGGACCGTATGTTCAAAATAGTACAGGCACAACATAGCTATTAATCATAAAACATCTCAAGTTATTTGAAAATTCTGAGGACAAAGAACACACAAACACACAGTGCCTCAGTGATTCACAGAACTGATTCACAGATCACAGAACTATATCAGGGTGTCACTTCGCAGGCAGCAACGTAGATAAAAATAATGAAATCCTGTTCCCCAAACAAGTACAAGAACCACAGAATAGGTTAAATATATAAATCAAATATAATCAATTAGAAACAGTCTCACATCAACATAAAAATATATAAACATAAAACTGGAGCCTGAGGACAGTGTGTCCAAAAGCACAATATAGCTATTAATTACAAAACACCTCAAGTTATTTGAAAATTCTGAGGACAAAGAACACAGTGATTCACAGAAGTATATCACAGATCACAGAAATACATCAGGGTGTCTCATGCAGCACTTTCAGTGGGGTTGCATAGTTTATTTGACTTCTGATACCTGGCATCTTTTTGCTTTCACCAACTCATCAATATCAGGCTTCACATCCTGAGTGGCAGCTAACTTTAGGATGTGATTCAAGTGCCTGTGCGTGAGCCTTGAGCGCAGTTTGGTTTTATTTACGCTCATTACAGAGAAAACTTGCTCACAAAGATACGTGGTTCCGAACATGCACAACAGTTTTGCAGCGAGGGCTGTCAAGTTGGGGTAACCTGGCAAGAGATTCTGATAGAATGTGTTCAAGCCAACTGCGGCAAATTTGCCCTTCAAATCCGAGTCACACTGCAAGTCTATTATTTCAAGTTGGATCCTGACAGGCAGATCAAAGGGATTCACGGTGAACGGCGAGCAAAAAACTTTGAAGTCGTTCTCCAGTTCACCAAAAATCTGAAATCGTTGGTCAAACTCTAGTAACAGTCCCGTTATTTTATCTTTAAACCGCTTCATATCTGCCACATCTGTTCCGTTATTTGAGGTTAAGGATGTTATTTGACTGGAGGCATAACTCACAGACACACGAGACGCGCCATTACTCCAATGAGTGTCCTTTATTATTTTTCATCCCCCCCCCACAACAACAACCCAGCAGAAACGTTCCTACCACTTAACATTTACCTGATACTACATCCCCCCTACTAAATAGGATGTGATGCTGGAATATAACCAAGAAAACAGATTAGACCCGCACGCTTTAAAGTATACTATTACTATGTCCTTGTGCTTTATCTGGTAACAGCTTGTTTACTGAACTCGCTTGGTTTCAAACCAGACTCCTCAGAATGTCCAAAAATAAACTCTCAAAGTATACAACTCTGAACACTAAGCATAAGTGCACATTTCTGAACTATTCGGTGCAGCTACAAACAACATGTTTAAACAGTGCAACCATTTGCTTTATTTCTCATTGTCTCTATGAGGGATGGGGTAGACTACCCAGCCCTCAGCCTGAGTGTGGGGATTATTCTGCCCCATTGCTCACTCAGTTCCAAGCCCTATGAGCAAACATAGTCTTTTAGGTATGCTGGAGGCCTCCTAGACCTGGGTTGGATTTGGCTCCCAGCTTCAGGAGTCTGCTGGCTGGCCTCCTGTGAGATAGTATCTGGAACCGACACAATCTGTGCAGCTGGAACAGAGTTCTCAGGTGAAGCCTCTGGTGGATCGCCAGAAATCTCCGGTGCCCCAGGTGTCCATGTAAGATGGTAACGGTTTCTTCTCAGCGTGCCCTTTGCTGTCTCGATGATGTAGGACCTCGGTGAGCCTGCCATGGACACGACTGTCCCTCTAGTATCCATGTCTGAGACCCACACTTTGTCTCCAGGATTGAGCTGTAGCATATCATGTGCTCTGTGTCTGCGGTTGTAGTTTTGTCTTTGTTTTTGTCTGTACGATTGTTCTATAGCTTTGAGCTTGTCTGTGTCCGTACCTCTTGGATTTAGCTGTGATGGGATGACAGGAATAGTTGTCCTTATCCTTCTACCCATGAGAAGCTCCGTTGGGCTGTAGCCATTTGCCAATGGAGTGGCCCGGTATGCCATAAGGGCGAGATAGGGATCGCCAGACTTTTTAAGAAGACTTTTGATGGTCCTGACTGCCCTCTCGGCCTCCCCATTGCTCTGAGGGAAGTGGGGACTGGATGTCTCATGGCTAAAACCCCATTCTTGTGCAAATCTTTTGAAGGAATCAGGCGAAAACTGAGGTCCATTATCAGAGCGAACCCGCTCTGGTATGCCATGACGTGCAAAGATTGATTTACAGTGCTCGATCACTGCCTCTGATGTTGTAGATGTCAGTTTGGCAACTTCGAAGAATCTGGAAAAGTAATCCACAATGACCAGGTACTGTTTATTCTCAATCTGGAACGGATCAGTTCCAACCATGGCCCACGGTCTTTGTGGGAACTCGGTAGGTAGCATGGTTTCTTTGTGGTTAGTCCGCTCACGGCAGCAAGTGTCACAGGTCCCAATCACTTTTATCAGCTCACTGCTCAGGCCTTGCCACCAAACAGATTGTTTAGCTCTCTCTCTGCATTTTGTTATTCCTAGGTGTCCCTCATGTAGTTTAGACAGAATGTCTGCTCTGAGTGATGTGGGAATCACTATTCTGCTCCCATAAAGAAGCAAACCATTGTGGACTGTGAGGTCACCTGAAAACGGCAGATAAGGCTGGAAAACCCTTTCGATGGAGTACTTATCTGGCCATCCTTCCACACAGAACTTCTTCAGCTGGCTTAGAATGCTGTCATTGTCCTGATGTGTCTGGATTTCTCTGAGTCGTGGCTCTGTGGCTGGCAGGCTTGCTATGACGGACTCCACATACAAGTTGATTTCTTCCTCCGGCAAACCCTCAGTTGTGTCACATACAGGAGCTTTGGACAGTACATCTGCTGTTGCAATGTCTCTACCATGAACATGAGATATGGTATAAGAGAACCTCATCAATCGCATGCGTAGACGTTGTATACGAGGTGGAAGCTCGTCCAGGCCCTTGGAGCCAAGCAACGAGACCAGAGGTTTGTGGTCTGTTTCAATGTGGAATATCTTCCCAATTAGGAACTCTGCAAACCTCTCACAGGCCCATGTTGAAGCGAGGGCCTCCTTCTCAATTTGAGCATATCGCTGCTCTGTTGCGCTGAGAGCTTTTGAAGCGTATGCTACTGGTTTCCACCCTAGATCGGCGTGCCGCTGGAGAAGCACTGCTCCCAAGCCATACGAAGATGAATCAGCTGATACGCACGTTTCAGCATTTGGATCATACAGAGCAAACCGATTAGTTATGTCTATAACTTCTGTTCCCTGAAGGAGAGGAACGAGGTACAACACATAAGTATGGGATATCACGCCCTCGCGTGTCCTGGCTGAAGAAACCTTTATTCACGCCTTTACGGCAGATGACGTGTGATGACACGCGCACGGCCCCGCCCGCACATATAGCCGCTGTCATCACAGTCATCCCTCAGTTCGATAGCCGCTCTTCACCGAGCCAACTGCTCAGTGGGGCCACCCTGTGTTGTACCTCGTTCCTCTCCTTCAGGGAACAGAAGTTATAGACATAACTAATCGTTCCCCTTCAGTCGATTCACTCGGTACAACACATAAGTATGGGACATATATACACGCCCCGCCGAGCAGCCACCGAACCGGAACGGGACCACCACATCCTTAGTGAGTGGTAGACCCAGGA